AAAGTTCCTCCAGTTTGGGATCTCATACATCACTTTCACAAGGAACCCTTCCCAGACCCCTCTAACTAGACTAATGTACCTATTAAATGTTCTTGTAGCACCAAGTACCTCCCATGTTAGCACTGTTAACAAATAGGTTTATATTGATGTGTATGATTCTTTGATTACTATCTGCCTGTCCCTCAGAGTATAATATCCACAGGGGTAGAGACCAAGGAGCAAAGTCAAGTTTCATTATCTGAATTGGCAGGATGTACATTGCAGCATCCACACATACCCTCGCAGCACCAAATGGGAATGCAGGCATCGCCGCTACCTTGTCTGCTCTCCCTGCCCTCAGGGACCTCTCTGGTCAACCTCTTGCTTAAAGTATTCCCCAGGTGGGAAGGAGGCACCAGTCTCACTCATCCCCCAAAACTTTAGGGACACATATCAATCTCTCAGTCACTCCTGGAGCACCTATCTGGTTGCATCCTGCGGCCAGGGCAGGGAGGCCTAGAGTTGCTACAGCTCAACACAGGTCTCTCTGCGTGGCCTCTCTGACCATTCTCTTAGAGCTTCCCCCACTTGACCAATGAGGGGACTGGGAGAGCCCATTCCCTTCCCCCACAGAAAGGGGAGGAGCACATTACTCTCTCCTGGCACGAAGCCTACACTAAACACTGAACTCTCCAAGGTAATCAACCTCCTTTCCATGTCTCAGTTCTTTTCATACAGTCTACAGGTGCATGGTGATGGGGTGATGAATATAGGACTGGGTTGTGTCTAGCAACTCATTGAGGCTCTCGGAGAAAGTGGAGCTTTTAGCCAAACTTTTGATACAACAGGGAAAGCCCCAGTCAACATTGTGTTACGACTGCATTCCTGAAAATTTGGGAAGATAGAGAATATGAGAAGGGAATCAACCATAATTCCACTTCTCTAAAACCAAAGGCACCTTCTTGTTAGTGTTTTATCTTCCATTATCTTATCAACTACAAGTTTTTGTGTAAATTGTATTCATTGTACGCTGGTCTTTTTGTAGACTGCTTTTATCTACTTCATGTTTTTTTTTAAGTTTTTAAATTTTTTAAAGTTTATTTACTTATTTTGAGAGAAAGATGGAGAGAGCAATTGGGGAGGGGCAGCGAGAGAGGGAGAGAGAGAATCCCAAGCAGGCTCTGCACTGTCAGCACAAAGTCCACCGTGGGGCTCAAACTCATGAACCATGAGATCATGACCTGAGCCGAAACCAAGAGTCGGACGCTTAACTGACTGAGCCACTCAGGCGCCCCTATTCACTTCATGTTATAGCATATGCATTGTCCCAAGTTGTGCTACATTCAACATATCATCTTAAGTGAATGCATAATAACATACACATTTTGAGAAAACTTTCTTTTATAAGCAATACTAAATTGAATATCTTTACACATGTAGACTTCATTCTTGGACTGATTCCTTAGGAGTGATTGCTAAAATTGGTGTCATAGAGTAGGCTGGTTGTCTGATTTTTCTGGCCAATATCCATTCTCTTTGCTTCTACTGACAGTTCCCTGAAGCTTTTCTCCATAAAAGAGAAAATTTGGGTGTATTGTGTTTTCGTGTTCATTCAGTTAAAAACACTTTCTCATCTTCCTTGTTGATTTTTTCTGTGGGCCATGGGTTATTTATAAGTCTGCTATTTAGTTTGCAGATTTTCTAGAAATCTTTGTTACTTATTCCTAATTTAATTTCACTGTGGCCAGAGAGCACACTCTCCATGACTTGAATACTTTCCAGTTTATTTGAGACTTGTTTAATAGCCCAGAATATTGACTGTATTGATCAAATAACCCTTATGTAACCGAAAGAAATGTTTATTCTGCTGTCATTGGGTGGAGTGTTCTGTAAGCGTCAATTAGGTCAAGTCACTTGATAGTGTTGTTGAAGTCTGCTATATCTCTGTGGATTTTGTATCTATTTGTCTTATTGATTATTGAGAAAAGGGTCTTGAGATTTCCAAAAAATAATTGTGAATTTGTCTATTTCTCCTTGGAGCTCTCTCTCTCCATTTTTGCTTCACATAGGGTGAAGGTTCTTACCAGGATGGCTTTCCTGTCCCCATCCCAGAGCAACCTCATCACCAACCCAGCCACCCCTGCCCCAAAACCAACAGGGGAGAGGAAGATCCAGAGTGGAGCAGATGCTCTGTGTGTACAGTTAGGAGCACTCATAGACCAGCCTGCTAGACTCACCCTGTAACCCTAAAATTAGTAATTTCTATTATTATTATTATTATTATTATTATTATTTTAGTCACATGGTGTTTGTTTATATTTACCTATGTGTACCAGTTTCTTTGTTCATTCACTGCCATGCCAGTTACCAATTCATTGTCTGTCGCCTCAAACCCACTGGGCATTGTCTAGTTTTGTGCTCCTGCAGCTGGGCCCTGAAACATTTTTTTCCTTTACCTGCTAACACAGTTGTAATGTTAAACTGTGTCAATAGAGGGCACCAGAAGTTCAGGTGGAAAGGGCTTTTCTTTCTGTTTCCACTGTGTTTGCTTTCTTGTCACTCTACAGCCAGAGGGACTGCCTGCACTGTGCATTCAGCCTGCAACAAGTTTTGCTGTCACTGGTGGAAGGCTTCCTATTTACCAATCCTAGCTCATGGTCCCCGGCTCTGGCATGACTTCTCGCAATTCCTACTTCCTGGGATCAAAATTTCTTCTTATCCTTTGGCTTTTCTTTTAATAAGAGCTTATTAGTGGTAAATTCGCCTCATTCAACATTTGGTATTATACGATGAAAATGTCTTTAGCAATCAGTCATGAATGAAAATTTGGCTGGGTATGAAATTCTAGATTCATAGTTACTTCCTTTTGGCACTTAAAAAATAATATAACACTACCTTCTGTTTTTCATTATTTAAGATTTCTGCTTTTAGTTTAATTCTTTTACAGATAACCTGTCTATTCTCTCTTACTGTTGTTATGATCTCTTTATCTGTAATAGTCACAGTTTCACACTGTCATATATAGCTGAGGATTTCTTATATTTTCTGTAAGAATTTGTAGTGTGTCCTGAATCTGGGGGTTAATGAGTTGTATCACTTCTGAAACAAATTCAGTTATTATCACTTTGAAAATTTCCTCTTCCTTCTTTTCTCTAGTTTCTCTGTCTTATACTTTTATTAGACATATATTGCATTATTAAATTCTATTCTACATACTTCTCAACTTTACTTTCATAGTAAATGGTTCTGATCACCAAATTCCAATGTGTGTGTTGAGGAGGGTCCCAATACCACCAAGCAGTTCTTCAACATCAACTGAGTGTCCTACCATTCAACTCCATCATAACACTACCCATCTAGAGATAGTATCAGATTCCACTGGTTAAGGGCTCAGTACTGCAAGACTGCCCTCCACTTCAGTTACCAGTTGCAAATCTGGGTTGTCACTTGTGGTTCTGACCAACTGCATGACCCTTCATAGGGTTGGATTTATTTGCTAGAGCAGCTCAAAGAACTCAGAGAAACTTAGATTACCAGTTTATTATGAAAAGATATAACTCAAGAACAGCCAGATGGAAGAGATGCATGTGGCAAGTTATGTAGAAAGGAGCACAGGGCTTTCCTGACCTCTCTGGCATGCCACTGCCCCAGCACCTGCTTCCATGTGTTCCCCAAACCAGAAGCTCTTTGAATCCCATCCTTTGGGGTTTTTATGGAGGCTTCAGTAGATAGGCATGATTAATTAAATCATTGGCCATTGGTGATTCATTCAAACCTCCAGCCCCTCCTCCCACATGTCAGGGGGTGGAAATGAAAGTTCCAATTCTCCATTCTTGGTTGATTTCCCTGGCAACCAGCCCCCATCCTTAGTTGCTGTCCAAAAGTCACCTCATTAACATAAACCCAGTTGTGATGAAAGGGGCCTGTTATGAATAACAAGACACTCAGTCAGAGCGCCTGGGTGGCTCAGTTGTTCAACCATCTGACTCTTGATTTAGGCTCAGGTCATGATCCAAGGGTTGTGAGCATGGAGCCTGTTTAAGATTCTCTCTCTCTCTCTCTCTCTCTCTCTCTCTCTCCCTCTGCCCTTTTCCCCTGCTCATGTGCTCTCTCTCTCTCTCTAAAAAACAAAAATCAAAACAGGAAAAAAACAAGACACTCAGTCATCTTTATGTCTCTGAAGTGATTTTAGGAACTGAGGACAAGAGACAAAATGTTATGACCAAAGATGTTCCCATTGTTCTTATTGCTCAGGAAATAACAAGGGTTTGAAGGGCTATGCGCCAGGTGCCACAGATGCGCCTGGCCACAAAGACCAAATATATGAGAAATAGATTTCAATCATCTAAATGGCCAAACAAATATTTTATATAAATCACAATATCACACATATTTTCCTTCTTTCATCTCTTTGTGCTGGGTCTTGATAATTCTCTCACATTTATCCTTTCTCTCTTCAGTGGCATCTAATGTCACTTATTTTTTTCACTAAGATTTTCTGATTATTATTGCAATGATATATTTTTCATGCTGATATTAGAAACTGATGTCCACTCTGAAGTCAGTCCTGTCCACTGAGTTTTTTATTTCAATGACTATATTTTTAATTCTGGGTTGTTTTTTTTGTTGCTGTTGCTTTGTTTTTTATTTTTGGCCATCTGTTCTTTATTATCTTGTACTTTTTTTTTTTTAGAATTTCAAGTACTTGTTTTATGTCTTTAATTAAATGAAATTATTGATGAAGCGTTTGTGTAAATATGCCTTTTGTTGTATCTGCTGACCATCCCTCATGTGAATTGTTTGCTCATGTGTTTTGTAATTTTGGATTGTGAGCTCATCTTCAGTGGGACTTTCCTTGTGGCCTGGGTTATGGTAGTGTTCCTACAGAGTGATAAACTCTACAGAGTGATAAACTCTGTATCTTTCTAACACCTCAGAGGTAACATCGACCTGAAACCAATTTAATTGTTAGCTGTGGGTTTCTACCTCACATAGTTCACATTATGGACTCAAAACCAGAGCAAGAGGTATGCACATGTTTCAATATCTCAAGAGAATTTTTTTCTTCAAACTCAGGTCCCAGTCAGAGACCTTGCCATTTCTTTATGATGATGGATAGTTGTTTAGTTCTATCTAGAAAGGCAAAAAAACACAAGCCCCTAACAGTTATCAAATTCAATAACAAATTCAACCCACACCCACCCCATTCCAGACTGCCATAGTGTCACCTCAAGTACTTACCTCTATTTTTTGCATCTGGACATTTCCTTTTCATAGTCTATGGTGTGGCTGTGCCATAATTTACCTAAGTGCTTATTTATTTATAGGTGTTTAGGTTGTTTTCTATTTTTTTTTACTCTAACAAAACAATATCACCATGAACATTCTCACAGGTATTGAGTATTATGGGTATTATTTAGTATCAATATCCCAGGTTGTATTAATTTTTTTTCCAGCAGCATTCCATAACACAAGGAAGTCAAGTCATTGAAATCACCCAAGTTGGGGTTTTTCTCCACAGGAAAGTGCAATAAAAAGATACCACAAGAGAATTTAGGACTGTGGTAAGAAAATCATTGAAATTATGAATCATAGATTCTAAAGTGGGTAAGGAGGAAAATAAAGATAACAGAGGAATCAGAATTAATAAAAAGAAAGATATAGTGGTTGTAGGCCCCCAGTGAAGGGGAGCAATTGAGTGCTTACACTGTAAGTTGAGGAAGTAGTGGTTAGAAAATAGAATGTCTGAGGCACCTGGGTGGCTCAGTCGGTTCAGCATCCAACTTTGACTTCGGCTCAGGTCATGATCTCTCGGGTTCATAAGTTCGAGCCCCACATCTGGCATGTACAAAGCCCACTTTAGATCCTCTGTCTCCCTCTCTCTGCCCTTCCCCCTCTTATGCACTCCCAAAAGTAAATAAATATTTTTAAAGAAAAAGAAGAAAATGGAATGTCTGAATACATGACTTCAGAGGTGGGATAATTCTTTGGCAATAGAAAAGACCAGATATGGCCATGGCTAAAGTAGAATGTAGGTGGTGAACTTTATTGATAAAGGAATCAAAGAAAGGAGGCCAGACCACTGAATGGGGTCATCTACATGGACACTGAAGTCACTCAAGACGATGGACTAAGACTTTGAGATAAGTGCAAAATTTTCATAGAAAAAATTATACAGGAGATCTGAAAGTAACAGTGTCAAGGAAATGGTAAGTAGCAAAAACGTCTAAGGAGCAAGCTATTTTTCTAATAGGAAGAGAAGAATAATGGCTTGAAGGGAGTCAGAAGGAACAAGGAAAATACAGCATATACCCCCTGAAGAACTGCAGAGTTTGATAAAAGGAGACATATGCAAGGGAAGCAGTGTCCTGAAGGAAAATCCAGATTACAGTTAAAGCCACGGGATTCAAGGGACAGGAAATAAACAGTCTAAGGAAACAGAAGATTTTCTAGTCATGTCACTGGACTTCCAAAGAATACAACTGATAGTTTTGTGAAGTATGCAAGGGCATGGGTGTTGGGCCAAAGGAGAAAAGTCAGAATATTATGGTGTTAAGAGTAGAGAAGAGAATTGGGGCACCTGAATAGTTCAGTCAATTAAGATCCTGACTTCAGCCCAGGTCATGATCTCACGGTTTGTGAGTTTTGAGCCCCACGCTGTGCTCTGTGCTGACAGCTCAGAGCCTGGAGCCTGCTTTGGATTCTCTCTCTCTCTCTCTCTCTCTCTCTCTCTCTGTTACTCTCTCTCAATCCCTCTCAAAAGTAAATAAATATTAAAAAAAATTTAAGAGTACAGAAGAGAATAGAGGACCAAAGGAGCTTATGATTTTGGTGATGATCAAAGAACCCAAGAATGATAAGCAGAGAGAATTGCTACATCAGACAAGAGGAAGGCAAAGGCAAAGGGTACAGTAGCCTCCTAAATAATCTGACATGCAGTTGGGCATCTCAGGTAGTGAGCAAAAAAGTCCAGATCTAATGATTAGGCACTCAAGAATTATTGGCTTCAGTCCTATGTTCCTGGCTCCAGGTAAGGGTCAGGCAACAAACAAGGGACCCCAGGGACCAAAAGGAAAACTACACTGTAAAGTCCTGTTCTGAAGCACCCCTTTAAGATCCTGTCCAGAAACATGGGAGATGGTCATGTTGACTGACAGTGCTCTGTGTTATTTTGTACACCCACCTGCATGCCCCCTACATCCCAAATTTTGGTTCCAGTTTCAATCACACCTGCTTTGTCACCCACTGCCTGTCCATATAGCCCCCTATCTGGCCTAAAGTGTCTTTATTGGTCATGGACATACTATCTCTGATTACCTGTTATACATGGAGTGATATAAATTATGTGAAAGAGCTTTGGAAAATGTAGTAAGTTAAATAACTGGAGGTACTGTGACTTTTTCTCACTTTGCCCACTCCTGCTTCAGATCCGTTCTCTTGATCCCAAACCCCTTACTGTGTCATAGCCCTTTGATCCATTTTTGCCTAGTGAGGGGAAAAGCTACATGTTATCCCACGGAACACAGACTAATACTACAGTCCCATTTCTTCTCTCTGCTATTTCCTGTGATCACTCTCCAATGTAGCAACTGGGGTTATTTCCCTGACTGGTGAGCATGCGGACTTGCCCAAAGGGAGAAGCACACACATTTCATAATGGGCATGGAGGCATGGGATGATGTGATGACTGGTTTGGGAGATAAATGCTGGGGTAGGTCTGAGCTTATGCCCAGTTGCTCATCTTGCCAAGATGAGTAACTAGAGAAATGCCATTTGGAAAAATGACAAGAAAGCTGCCCCTGATTTCTTTTTATTTATTTATTTATTTATTTATTTATTTATTTATTTATTTTTTACAAATAGTTTATTGTCAAATTAGTTTCTACATAACACTCAGTGCTCANTGAGCAGGGGAGGGTCAGAGAGAGAGGGAGTCACAGACTGAAACAGGCTCCAGGCTCTGAGCTGGCAGTCAGCACAGAGCCCGATGCGGGGCTCGAACCCACGAACCGTGAGATCATGACCCAAGTGAAAGTCCGACTCTTAACCGACTAAGCCACCCAGGCGCCCTCAAAGGCAAGACATTTTTATTTATTTTTTTATTTTTTATTTTTTTTTATTTATTTTTTACAAATAGTTTATTGTCAAATTAGTTTCTACATAACACTCAGTGCTCATCCCCAAAGTGCCCTCCTTCATGCCCATCCCCCCCTCCCCCCCACATCCATCAGTCCTCAGTTTTTGTGCCCCTGATTTCTTCATCTCAGCCCCAGCCTACACCTTTCCTCTCTGTCCCCTTATGCTCTTGTTTTCCAGCCCATCTTCCTCCCCTGTCTCCTCACCCTTTTGGCTCTCAGACTGCTCCCCAGTGCCGTCCACCTCCCTCAGCTTCCTGCCCTACCTCTTTCCCACCTCTGACTAGTGTCATCCCTTCTTGCCACCCTACCTTATGGGTTTCCCTACCCAGCTCTTCCTCTTCCTTCCTGGCCACCCCTTCACCGCTCTGTTCATCTCGCTCCTCTTTCCTGTTACCCCTTTGTCTTGGCTCCTCCTCCCCCTCCTAGCCCTTCTTTCTAGATCCTTGGAGTTGGGTTCCCACCAGCACCCCAGCCAGCCCCAAGCAGACCTCTGTGATTCACAAATCTCATCCTGGAGGAATGGTTTCCCAGAAAGTGGGACGGTTCTGGTACAGTCCAGAGTTGCCAGGACTGTGGATTCCCAGGAGCCTGACCTGGTGAACATTGGGAATTTGAGAGAATGGCCAGCCAACATTCATCTTGGAGGGTAAACTTGGTTATTTGCAGGACCTCTTTTCCATGATGGTGTTTTCAGCCATAACCTGATCATCTTACTACTATCTGTATTTTGCCTTCATCCTTGTCAACACTCTTCAGGTGCCAGAGACACTTTTAACAAGATCCTTTTTCTAGAGAATCTGTTCCTTTCCTCTCTTATCTGATCAGCCAGCCTGCGTGAGTTTTTACATTTGTAACTGGCTTCTCCATAGACTTGGTCTGTGACCACGGAGCAAACCACAAGATCAGTGTAGAGAAGAGTGAGTGCAAAATGTCTAATCGGATCTCTAGGAGGTAAGTCCTATTGATCTGCCCTGGATTAGAGTGAGTGTAAGAATGGGTGACCCTAAGAACTCACACACAGAACACAAGGCCCCTATTATGGATATATGGGGGGGGGGGGGTTAAGGTTTTTTTGGTCTGGCTTCTCCAAAGTTCTATTTCTCCACATCCTAGGATTGTAGAAGCTTGTCAGAGATTTTTTGCCTTTGAGAAATGCCTCCTGCAAGATGATGGGTGTGTGTCAAGGAGCAGGGTTCCATTGTGTTCTCACTCAAACTCTGAAGGCTGAACCTCTATACCCCAGAATATGGCAGGTAGCAGAGACTTGAAGGCAAGGACTCATCCAGATCCCACCCAGATGATAGCATCAGATGAACAGATGATGTTTTCTTAAAAGTGTTCTTCTCAAACTCATCATAGATTCAGTGCACTCTCAACCAAACTCCTAACACATATTTTAGGGAACTTGACAAGCTGATTATAACTTGGATGGACAGGCAAAAGGGCCAAAAATAGCCAAGACTCTCTTAAGAACCGGTAGGAACAATTTTCCAGATATCAGGACTTAACACAAAAATAGTAATTAAGATAGTAGAGTAGTAGTGCAAGCATAGATAAATAGATAAGTGACATACAAGAGTCCAAAAACAGGTTTACACATATTTGGATGCTTAATTTAAGACAAAAGTGTCGGCAGAACAAGGGGGATAGGACTATTGAAAAAATAAATTGATTCTTAGTCTCTTGGTTAGTCATGGGAAAAAACTAAGCTAGATCCCTATCACATACTACACTCAAAAATCGGTTTCAGGTAAAACATCCATCTAAATATGAAAGAGTAAAAATAAATCATGTAGAATCACTCTGTCATACATGGCCATTGAACACATGAGATATGCTATTAAGTATGAAATGTGTACTGGATTTTAAACACTTAGTATGAAAGAACAATAAAACACCTCAATAGTTTTTGTATTAAAATGTTCACATGATAGTTTGGATTTACTGGACTAAATAAAACATCTTTCAAATTAATTGAATTCTTTTGCTTTATTT